TCCCATTTTTTAATTGAGTTCTTTGTTTTCTGTTACTGAGTTGTAGTTCTTTATATATCCTGAATATGAATCCTTTTTCAGATACATGATTTACAAAATAGTCTCCCATTTTGTGGGTAGTCTGTTCATTCTGTTGATAGTGTTCTCTAATGTAATTTTGATGAAGCCCATTTTATCTGTCTATTTTGTTGCTTGTGCTTTTGGTGTCATATCTGATCAATCATTGCCAAATCCAACGTCATCAAGATTTTCCCCTATGATTTCTTATAGGAGTTTCATAGTTTTAGGTTTTACATTTAAGTCTTTGATCCATTTTGAGTTAATTTTTGTATATGATGTAAGGTAAGGGTCCAACTAAGGATCCAACTTTTTTCTTTTCTATGTAGAAATTCAGGTTTCCTAGCACCATTGGTTGAAAAGACTGTCTTTCCTCCATTGAGTGGTTTTGGCACCTTTGTCAAAAATCATTTGACTATATAAGTGAGGCTCTACTTACCTTTTTTGACATGTGGAGGACAATTACAACTTTTAATGTCCTTATCTACTCATTTTAACATCTGTTTCAGTTGTGTGTTGGTTTTGATTGCTTATTTTCCTCATTGTGTATTATATTGCCTGCCACTTTATAGGCCTGGCTATCTTTGATTGGATGCCAGACATTGTGAGTTTCACCTTGTTAAGTGCTGGGAAATTCTGTAACCCTATAAATCCTCTTGAGCTTTGTTCTGGGACAGTTACATTACTGGAAACAGTTTAATACTTTTGGATCTTATTCATAAGATTTTTTTTAGGCAATTCCAGAGCAGTGCTCATTTCTAGGACTAATTATTGGCCACTACTGAAGCAAGACCTTTCTAAGTATTCTCCTCAATACCCCATTTTCTTCTCCCCAATGCCAGGCTGGTGGAAACAGGCACTGTTCCCTTTAGTCCTCCCTGATGGTTCTTTACCTGGCCTCAGGTAGTTTCCCCACATGCTTGTGTTGATCAGTTTTCTGATGAATACTCCTGGGGACCCTCTGCAGATCTCCAGGGGTTCTGCTGTGCAGCTTGCTCGCTCTCCGGTATTCTGTCCTAGGAACTTGTTGTCTTGGTCTACGCAGACTCGCAAGCACCGTCTCAACTCAGAGAGTGTGCTGGGCTCCACTTCAGTCTCGTGTGCTAGAGCCTGAAAACTCGCTCAAGGTAGTAAGCTAGAGCCATCATAGGGCTAATCTTGCTTGTTTTCCATCTGCCTGAGATCACTGTCCTTTATTGGTCATTGTCCGGAGTCTAGAAAACCACTGTTTCATGAATTTGGACTGGTTTTTCTGGTTGCTTCAGGTGGGAGGATAAATCTGATCCCCATTATTCCATCTTGGCTAAAAGCAGAAATCTGTCTCTACTGCTACCTTTTTTACCTGTAAGATCACAAGGCCTCTGTGGAGGGCTGTATGCATTCTGTTAAGTGAGAGTCACTCACACAGTAGGTGCTTAATCAGTTATTCCCTCCTCACCCACCAAAGGTGAGCCTAAAGGACCTGACTCCTAGGGAGCTTAGCTTGGCAGTGATTTGGTTGGACTTAAGGAACTCTCCAGGACCAGAAACCTTGCAGTTGGACCTGTGCTATCCCAGAAGTGAGCTTCCTCTAGCCCTGAGGGCCACCACGGCATGCAAGTGCCATATGAGGAAGTCCCATAGAAGGGCTGAGTTGTGACTGTGAGCTCCTAGAGATGATGGTCTTAGCTATCCTGTTGGACATTGTGGACAGGCATCCTTTTCACCCCTCATGCTTGGTCTGGCAAGTCATGGTAGCATGCTCTCCCTTGCCAATAACTGATTCAAGAGCAGACATGTGGCCCAGTTCCAGCCAATTAGATGCAGGACCTGGAAAGTCTAGTGCAGCGGCTCTCAACCTGGGGGTCGAACGACCCTTTCACAGGGGTCGCCTAAGACCATCGGAAAACAAAAAGGTATTTACATTACGATTCATAACAGTAGCAAAATTACAGTTATAGAGTAGCAACAAAAATAATTTTATGGTTGGGGGTCACCACAACATGAGGAACTGTATTAAGGGGTCTCGGCATTAGGAAGGTTGAGAACCGCTGCTCTAGCGGCTTCTGGGAAAGGTTTCTTCCATTTTAAGGGTGTCTTGGGAAGACACAATCAGCCTTCTCTGGAGTTGCCATATCCCAAAGTGACACTTGGAGCTACTGCCACCATCTTGGCACCAACCTGAGGGTGGAACCAACAGGAAGGATGGCAGATCAGAAAAGAAGGCCCAAGTCCTTGAAGACATCAAGCTGCTGAATCAAACAGCCCCAAAGCCCATCTCACCTCTGGATGTTCACGTACAGAAAAAAATCGTGTTTAATTCAAAGTTAGAGTTTCTGTTAGCTGCGACCAAAAGTACTGTCACTGAGCCAGCCACCTGGAGTGCTGGAGGTCTATGTGGAAGGCCAGGCACCTACAAGGGACTTTTTCTTCCTGCTGAGGTATTTCAGGTTCTTCAGGTGAGAAATGGGCTGAGAGCTGTGAAAAGACGTGTCCGAGGCCACACGGTGGGGAGTCGGGAGCACAGGCCCAGCAGGCTTCCTGCTGATGGGTGCCTGCTCCACCACAGCCCCGTGCCCTGGAGATCTGAGTCAGCTCTGATGCTGGGGCCTCAGAGTTCACCGACCTAAGTCAACGTTTAGTTCTGCTGAGCTAGAGCAAGCACGTATCAGAGGCTATCTCGAATTTTTGTGCTGAAATTGTGTCCTTGGAGGAAAATACCAAAGTCCCCCAAGCTGTAATCAGGGCGGTTACAGGTAACACCTAATTGCTATAGTTTCTGGACAGATTTTTCTGATTGTAAAGAACTTGTCCAAAGTTCCTTCCCAGGCCAACAGAACAGGGTAGACCTCTCAGAGCCGAGGTGAGCAAAACCCTGTTGTCAGAGGCTCTTGTCTGCTCTCCGCACCAGAGCAGGAGGCGCCTCCTCACCCTGACCTTCCTCTCCCGTGGAGCCTGTGTAAGCCAGGCGGCCACCTCTCAGTAGTAGGAATGGGACTGGGCCGGGATACCGTCTCAACTCCAGAGACTGCCTGGGAGACGGCTGCCCTGGGCTGTACAGAGTTCCTAGCCCTGGAGATCGTCTTCTCCTTGCCCACCTGGAAGACCTGAACCTCAAGGATGTGAAGCATTCATTCATTCCACAAGGAATGTCTGAGGCCCCCAGTGCCCACTGCTGTTCTAGGTGAGGGGTATTCAGCAGTGAATAAAACAAAGTCTCCATGAGTGTAGAGAAAAAGGCAGATAAATAAGTGAATCTACAATGCAATGTCAGATGCTTGTAAGTGCTCTTAAAATCCAAATCAGAGAAAGGGAACGAGAGGGATAAGTTGTTTTTTTGGAAAGGGTAGTCAGGGAAGGCTTCCCTGAAGAGGTGGAATGGTCACAAGTGAACTGAGAAAACTTGATGAATTTGAGCCAGCCATGCAAATACCTGAAGACGGTTCCAGGCAGAGGGAAGAGCAAGAAAGGTCTTGGGCTAGGATTGAAGACTGGCAGCAGGCTGGTGTCTCGGTGTGAAGGAAGCATGCCACTGGTCATGCAGCAGGAAGATCAGGTAAGCACCTGTTCTGGTTAGCACCAAATTCGCGCGGCCGGAGCCAGAGTGCACCTGCCAACCACCATGTGCACGGCAGGCAAACCACATGGGGCACCTGCTTCCAGGGTTGCCAGGATGCTTTGAGGCCTCACCCTGATTCCCCTGGGAACATCAGAGGCTGGTGTTGAGCACAAGAAAAACCCAGAAGATGCAGCCTACCTAGGCACTGGTGTCCAAAATTCAAGTTCTAGGCTGTATTTGAGAGGTGGCCGAGATTGCCATGGGCTAGGGCAATCATGGAGGGCTTCCTGAAAGAGCCGCAGCCTGGACAGATAGGATAAGATTACAACTGAAGATACTAGAGAGCTGGAATGACAGACACTCCCCTCCCCTTGCCTCCAGCAGCTCTGTGAGCTCTCCCACCTCTGAAACCCATCTGATCCCCCTCCCCACCATCCAGGGGATAATGCTTAGCTTTGCATTCAGAGTTCCTATTTCCAGAAAATGGCCTTCATCTACCCATCCAGTCTTGCCTCTCCCAAGCAGTCACATTCAGGGTACGTGCTGTGCCCTGAACATATCAGGCATTTTCTATCCCAGTGCCTCTGGTCATGCTGTCAGGGATTCCCTTCCACCGCCCCTTCCTAAACTACTGCCCATTCTTCAAAGCCCAGCTCCAGGGTCCTGACTTCAGAGGTCTCCACCCTCTGACCCCAAATCACACACAGCAGGGATGAGCCGTATGCCAAGCTGGACTTGGTTGGCTTCTCTTTGGGGTGACGGTTATGTGCCAGTTAGGCCTCTTGTCCTGGCGTAATTATTAGTAGTGCCCCTTTGACTCCCAGATGTGTTCCAGCTGGATGACCACGTATATAGTCACCCTTCGTTGCCCCCACCCTTCTCTACCCAACTGAAATCCTTGGATAAGAACCATGTTGTCAGGGCCCAGCACAATACTCTGCCACATTTGGATAAAGTCATGCACTCACACAGGTAAGTGTTGAGGTACACGTGGGGCAAAACAGCAGACAGGGAAGGGGGTAGAGGATGACTTTAGACAAGCTGGGCAGGGAAAGCCTGTGAAGGGGCCTGAAAGAATTGAGGGAACCAGAGATAAAAACATCTGCGGGAAGAAAATTCCAGAGAGAGAAAAGCAAGTGCAAAAACCCTGGGTTGGAACATGCTTAATGTATTAAGGAGCAGCAGAGAGACGAGTGTTGGGGGAGTGGAGAGATGGATGGGAGATGTCGGAATAGACCAGAAAATGCTGGGCTTTGTCAGCCACGATGAGGAATTAGGATTTTTTTTCTGCCAGTGGAGGGTTTGAGATGGGGGAGTAACATGACCTGAGTTGTTTTTTTCCCCAGACTGAAAAGGCTTTTATTTTTCATCATGCATATAGAAGACAAAAGTGCCATCAATCCTCTTCTGATTGGACAAAGCCACCTCATGAATATTTCACTGTTTAGAAGCAGAGATGTCATTTACAATGATGTTGACTACAACATGGCCACTGGAGCACAGAATCAAGATCATTAGCGTTTTAGAGTTCTTTTTGGAGGTTATCCTCACAGAACATGGTAACAATTTCCATTTAAGTCTTACAATACTACCATACTCAAACTACTAAGTACAGGGTTATATTAACAGGCCACGGCAACCTGATAACAATCATGAATGGCCACATAGGTTCCAAATGGCATTGAAAAATTACAATGACATTCTTGTAAATGTTCTCAACTAAAAGCAGCAAGCAGGCCTGGACAACTCAATTTCCCCAGTTGCTAGAAATGGAGAAGAGAATGCATAGAGTCTTACTTAAAAGCAGTGAAATTAAAAACAGAGCATTAACGTTCTACAAACACAGGGTCATGCCTGGATAGAGAAAACCTGTGAAGTTGCAGTGTTATTAGTTCTAATTTAAAAACCTGATGAATCAGAAAAGTTAGGAACAACCAGGGGGCTCACTTCCCTCCACTCCACGGGTTCAGGCATCCCTCCCTGCCTTTCCAGCTGGCTCTGGCTTCTGTTGCATTTACCGGCCTGAGAGCAACAGCCCTCTACCACCCCACCCCCACCATTATTTTGTGTCAAGGCCTTCCCAGGTCCTGGGGGGCAGAAAAGACAAGGACTTCCATGGGAAGGGGCCTGGGTATGGTCATCCCCCAAATGAGATGGAGACAGCCCCGAAAGCCTGGGAAGGGGAATTTGGGGTGGGGGGCAGCTAGGCTCTAGTACCTACAGGATCCCACGACGGGTTTTGGACCTGGTGAATGAAGTAGAGCTGGGGCTAAAGTTAGTCTAAGAGAACACCGCATAAAATAATGAACTGTCCCTACCCCTGGGAACCCAGACCTCCTGGTCTCTCTGTTCAGCAGCCCTGTACTGTCCCCCTTTGAAGATTCTGGGCCTTACTGAAGGGGGCAGGACATGGGAGCACAGGGAACAAAGACAGCACTGGCACTCTATGAACCATCCCTCCTTCTCTGGAGACAGAGGCAAATTCAATAAGAAAGCCTGTCTCTAGCTATTTATAAAAACAAACCAAAAAAACCCAAAAAACATGCTGCTTCAGTTGTTTCTGTTTCTGAGTTGTCACTTTAAAGAAAATGGAAAGAAAGATGTGAGCTCTGGGCAGGTGTGTAGAAAGGCCCCATGACCAGAAACACCCCTTCTCCAGCATCCCCAGCCGACAGCCTAACAACAGGTGGAGACGAGAGAGCTGGATCCCATGGGAGTTCATTGACTGGTGCTCATAAAGGTTTCTGGAAGGGATCCCGTCATTGCCCCTGCCTTGAACACATGCCCAGATATGCCAGTGCAGCAGAGTTCCTAGGGTTTGGGGGCCCTCTTATGCAGTGGCCCACCTGGGTCCACTGACAGCTTCTGGGAGCATTCAACAGGGTTGGTAGCAGCCTGGGCAAAACTCATGAGAACAGTGATGGCCAGACATTGGTAGGGTACAGCACAGACCTTCACAAGCAGGTAGCAGGCTGCAAGGTAGACCAACATGGGTAAGAGGAGCAGTATGATCCCAAAGGCTTCGTGTCCTTGACCTCACTCATGCCCAGCAGCCACCTGCTGGCTCTGCCCGTTCTGCCAGATGCCCAACAGTCCAGTAGCCTGGCCGGTGATCCTGAAGCTCTGAGGCCCTGGAATGTCCAAGTCTGTTGACAGCCAGCACAATGTGCCCACTTCATCACGGGTGATGAGACTCCGCTTGCCGCAGTCAATGTGTGGGCTAGTATAAATATGAAGCCCAGCATGTTGTGGCCTTGACGTAGTAGGCGTTGAAGAGGCACTGGTTCTCCCAGCAATGACTTGTGGGTGCCCATCACAAAAATGGGTGGGAAGGCCATGATCAAAGATAGGCCATGAAGGTGATGGCAGTACACGTCCATGGCACTGGGTGCTTGGGTAGACACTCGCATGTGACAGTCCCATGATGCATGAAGGCCACATGGAAACAGAAGAACTTGGCCATGCAAGCCACAATCTTGGACCCAAGTCTACTGAACATACAGAAAGTCCAGAATACACGGAAGAGAAAGCAGATAGAGTGCTATCGCTGGCCTAAGCACAGGTCCACAGGAGATAGAAGGGAGTCTTATGTAGCGGCCTGGTCCCAGGGCAGGACTTAGCCAGACTGGAACCCATGGGGCCTAGAAGGGGCCTCTGTGGGCCACCTTGCTAAACCTCGCCTGGCTCTGTGGGGCCTATCCCCCAGCAGATAGTACTGCAGGGGGTTGGGCCATAGGTCCTCTTTAATAATCTGGGCAACCCTGTCTGCCTCTGGGAGGCTGTGCTGTGAGAACCAGCTGAAGAAGCTGCGGACAGTGTCCCGGTTCCTGTGTACCAGAGCAGGGGGTTCCTGGCCCCGGTGCCATCGGATGCGAGTTGCGATTGACACCACCCGGCCTGAGGATCTGCATTCATACTCCTTCACGATCACCTTGTTCCGGAAGTAGGGGTTGCTCCAAAAGCGGAACTTGAACTTGCAGCCCGTCCTGGCATGCCTGAGCTCCCTCACCTCCAAATTCACCAGGTAGCCGAGCATGTCTTCATCTCGCGGGCTGATCATAGCTGACAACTGCGGGTGGTTCAGGAAGGCGGTGACCCAGAAGCCAGGAATATTCTGGATGATGAAGCTCCTACGGGCTAGGTGCAACCGGCACATGCGCCCAAACCTGCGCTCCAGCTGCAGGTAGGCCCTGTCCGCCTGGGCACTCACATCCTCCAGCTCCCACTGGATGGCTTCCAGTGGATTCACAACTGGGCCATCAAGGTTTAGAGGCCTCGGGGCCTCCTGCACCTCCACTCCCACCTCCATCACCTCCACCTGCTGCTTTTGCACCTCCCTCTCCACCTCCTCCATGAAGATGGCGCCTTCATTCGTCACTTCCTCGGCCTTCCCACCGGTTCCAGCTTGAGCTCTGCACCGCTCTGCGCCACAGGTTTCTGGGGCCGCGTCCCCGACAAGACCGTTTTCCAGGCTAGGATCAATCGCCGCGGAGGCCGCTTCCCGATACCCAAGGGCAGCCGGTACGGTTCCGGGGTTGGCTGCGGAGTCGAGGTGTCCGCATCCTCTGGCTTCTCGGGCCCCAGTCGCGGGGGCCGGGCGCGCGCCCCCTTCTTGCGCCAGGCCGGGCGGCATGCGCGCGGCGGTTTCCAGGCCCTCCACACCCTGGTCCGCCATCACCTGCGGAAGCCTCCGGCCTGGGGAGGCTTGGGACGCGCGGGCGACACGGCGGGTTTCGCGAGAGGGGCAGCTAGGTGGCTACAGGCTGGTGGCGGCTGCTGCAGGGCCGCGGGCGGGAGGCGGGGAGGCGCGGTCTCCTCCTCCGGGTCGCGCTCCGCCTCTCGTGTCCCCTCATTCCGGATGTGATTCTTTAGGGTCCCGGGCTGCGGGGAGCAAGGGGCCTGTAGGCCAGGCGAAGGGGCAGGGGACCACCCGGTGGAAATGCAACCACGGGCGCCAGACAGAACTGGCCCCCGATTGGTAGAGCTCTGGCGGTTAAGTCTAGGGGAGCAGCCCGGAGCAGGCATCAGGGATCAGGCCCAACCCCTGGTCACATACAAATAGAACCTTCCATCACAGCCACCACGCCAGGTGATTATCATTCTCCGCATCTGAGGTGGGCAAATGGGAGTCACCCGACGCCCACTTATCGCCGCTTTCGGGCAGCTGTAGGACACTTGCAGCATTGCACGGATAAATTACTCAGGAATAGACAGAGGACTCAAGAGGTATCCCTTGCAAAGACTGGCCAGACTTAAAACTGGGAGCAACAGTTGGTCATTGTCTGGCACACGGAGGTGCTCATAATACTTATGTGGAGAAAGTTAAGAAACAAGGTCAGAGTAGAAGGATCTGGGCAAAGGAAGGTCTCAGATGCTGCCAACCAGGGAGCAAATGGGATCTGCCTGGTTTCCCCCAAACCAGCTGGGTCCTCCTGGGCTGGTAGGCTGAAAGGTAGACACTTTTTCCTAGGCCCAGGGGCTACCCTTGGCTCTGTACCAAATATCTCACAAATGTGAACTCTAGTCTGAAGTGCAGGGTCTGTACTTGGATAAGAGCCTGGATGGCCCAGCCCCTGCAGCCCTGATCTACAAATGCACCTGTGCCCTTGTGGTCTTTGCTTTCAAACTTGTGGCCTGTGGAGGTCAATACACCTAATGTCCACTCTCTGCCTGAAAGTCCTTGCCACCTCCTCCAGAAAGCCTTCCGTTTCCTCTGGCCCAGAGGATAAGATAGTTCTGAGCCTCCAGATCCATCCTGGAGTATGCACCCCCCCAGAGGGCAAGGTGGACTCCCTTGGGGCCCTAGCCAGTGATCTGACCCATTGGGGGGGGGGTGGACAGTGAACATTTGTCAAGTACATGGAAGGCCAAAGAGATGAAGGACCAGCCCACTGCCTTTGTACACAAAACACTTGTTACACACATTAACACTTGTTAATGCCCCATGGGCTAGACTCCAGAATGACTTGCACTGCTTGGCTATGGACACTGGCTCCAAACCACAGAAAAGCAAGCTCAGAGCCCTGGATGGGAGGACTTCAGCACAAGGGATGGGGTCCAGGATAGTGATGACTGCCTTCCTTAGAGACTGGCCAAGCAACATCAGGCGAAAGCCATGTCGGCCTCTCAACAGTTTGTCTGAACCCAATGGGTAGGCACAAGTGTGGACAAGGTCACTTACTAGTTCTGCATCTTGGGCAGTGGATGACAATTCTCTTGGACAACCAGCATCCATTTCTCTTCCTACTAGTACCCCACATTTCCTTTGAGAAGCCACTTCTCCCATCTCAGCCTTGTCACCACTGGCTTTATAGTGACTGGTTTGGGGATGGCACAGAACCCCATCAAGGCCAATGAGACAGGAGATGCTTACTGGGGTTTCTGTGAATAAAAGGATTCCTCTCTCCTGAGAGCCTGGGAAGGTTCCCTTTCTCTTCCTGGTCGGCACTGTGTGAGAATGACAGGTCTGGAATCATGGCAGCATTCTACTCCTACACAAAGGGACAAGCCACTTTGTGGGGCCTGAGGATGAAGTCACAACTGTAGATAGGGCAGAGAAAAACAGGAATGCTAAGACCATGTCTGAGTTGCTGGATGAATCCTAAAGACTATCTACATCTGGCATTTTCAGTTACATGCAATTTCATTAAGCCAGTTTGATTTTTCTGACCCGTGTCCAAGATTATCAAGTGAAAAGTATGATGCCACTTACCTCAGAGGCATCCTATTAAGATCTTTCATTTCCAAGTGCAGTTTGTAGGTGCCAATGTGTAGGTTGTTACTGTTTGCCCTACACTCAGCATCCCCTCGGATGCTAAAGACGCCTGGAGATTCCAATTCCTCCCCAGGCTCTCTCCAACCCTTTCCCAATCAGACAGGTTCACAACTTCCAAACACATCATTCAGAAGTTTTTAATAAACAACTTCATTATAAAAACCTTTTTTTGAAAATGTAATTCTGTAAAACATTGAAAAATCTACTTTAACAAAGATACGCCCTGTGCATTTTCTAATGGCACTTATATTTTACAATTAAAAACCTTGTTTTATATAAAGCCAAAAATACTCCAAGAGGTTATTCACTGTGTTTACAAAGTGCTAGAAGGTTTTTGTCTTGTATTTTTCTCATTAAATAATCTGGCGTTACGAAAGAGTGGCTCCCAAGCCTTGACCACTGGGAGGGAGGGGTGAGGCGTATGAGAAGTGGTGTTTCAGGAGTTCTAGTGCCGAAAATTCAGAGGTGGAGGGGTGCATATGGGGAGAATCGGCTAAGGAAGTCAGCTTGCATCCGAGGAAATCAGGCTGGAATACTTCTTCCTAACCGCCCCCCCACAGAGGCACTAGGTTACCTCCGTGAATCCTTCCCCCCGTCAGAGCCAGAACACCCCTCCCCCGCCACAGACCCTCCTCTCCAGTGGTGAAGGTCACAGCCAGTTCCTTCCACAGCAGGTTCAGAGCTCCAGGAGAGGCCAGGGTAAGGTCCCAGAGGAATCTGGACTTTTCTGGCCAACACCTGCCTAAGGCAAAGTTTATTACATAAATATCCTTGTTAAAAAGCAAAATATTGATCCTGTACAATATAAACTGTTAAAAAAAATCGTGCTTACAAACAGCTCCTAGATAAGGGGGGGGGCTTAGGGGAGGGGGGAGAAAACAGCTATCAAAGAGAAGGGGGGTAGGATTTAAAGGACTACTCAGGGAAAGTTTAGGGCAGTGGGAGAATTTCAACTTAGGACAATATCTACGAGCAAAAAAGTAATCACACCTGCTTCCCAGATTTCCATTAACAAAATGCCATTTTTAAAAGGTTGGGGGAAAGAACTCATTGGTGCTCCTTTCCCTACCTCTCACCTCTTTTAAGATGTGCACAGATCCTCTGCACTGACACAGCTGAGCATGTCATTCCCTGGCCCCCAGGGCTGTACCCAACGCTGACCAGCTCCTGTGCAGGGTGGGAGGTACCTGTCCCGTGTTCAGGGCAGCTTACTGCTGACAGAGGTTGGAGGAGGTGGTGGGGAAAGGGGACATCACCCTTTTCCTGGTCCCTGTTTGGTCTCTGCCACATGCTATGGCTCCTGTCCTGGGCAGATGCCCCTCAGGCTCTCATGGCTTCAGTAAGGGTACTGAAGTGGGTTTGGTACTGAGTGTAGGATAAAGCTAATCTTATCCTTTGAACAACCAGGCCAATGAGGCTTTTTTTTTTTTTTTTTAAATTATGAGAAGGGAGATTTAAGAAACAGCTGGGTGGCTATGGCCCCCCACCCCCCAAAAAAGGTGAAGGCGGATGTTCCTCTGCACCAGCAAAGTACACAGTGATAGGGAAATTCCTTGTGGGTGGTGAGGGCATTGAAGGAAGAGGAAAGGAGGGACAGGATGGAAAAAGAGGAGGGAGGAGGGGCAAGGGCCCCAGTTCCAAGGTTTTAAATAGTTGCTTGGCCTGTCCTATAAGTTTCCCAGCATCACGAATGGGGGAAGAGGCTCACGGAACAGGAAAGAGCAGAGAGGAGGGGGCTCCACTAACAGCCTGAGACTACATCCTGTGGCCAGAGGCCCCTTTGCCTCTGGAAACGAAGGGTGCAGGGAAGTGGGCAGAGAGGTGGTGAAAGGTTGCTGGGTCTAGTGATGAAGACCAGAGACCAGGAGAATGGCAGCACTGAGTCCTGCTCGGATCCTCACGTGCCATTTCCCGAAATACGAGTCCCAGTAACATGCATAGCATGCAGGAGGTGACTGCGTACCAAGGTGGACGCTTTTAAAAATAAACCTTAATCAGTCCCTGGGACTCACAGAAACTAATTTTTAGAAGCAAATCACCTAGTCTGATTCTAACCTTGCCAGACATTTTTATATCTGGTTTTGATTTTTTTTTTTTTTAAGGTAGTCAAGCTACCCTGACTAAATCAAAATATGCTTATTCACTCCACATTGCTTCCAATCAAGGAGTAGGGAGCTACATTTTAAGGCTTTCACCTCAAAGAGTACTGGCCTGGGCTGAAGCAGAAGCCTGGGTCTTGGACCTGCTCAGTTCCTGATGACAGACCAAAGTGATTTCTAGACAGAAGGGACGGAGGAGGACTAGAGGAGGCTGAGGCAGTAGTTCCTTGGTAGTTTGTCCTGAAACCCTAGTGGAGAAGCCAGCATGAGGTACCCGCTGAGAGAAGTGCCCAGAAACTGCTGGCTGCATCTGTAGGAGTTAACAGTAAAGAGGTAGAAGTGTGTTTCTGAATCAGAGTGGAGGTGTCTCACGAGGGTCCCACATCGGTGGTTCCCGAGCTCCCTTCCTTCCATGAGTGGAAAGAGTGCCCATGCAGAACTGAGATGAAGCTGGGATGGGGTTCGGCTGGGCAAGGACTACGCTGTCTGTGGCAGAGAGCCCCACAAGTCAGAAGAGAAGAACTAATCGTTTGTTGCAAGAAACCTTGCTGAGGATTGAGGAGGGCCATAAGAGGAAGGTGGAAGTTCTTTGATGGAGAGCAGAGGAGCCTATGCACAGTGGCCCTGAGTCCAAGGGAACTGCCAAGTAGAGGAGAGAGGAGGGACACTGTGGGCAAAGAAAAAAGTTTGGTGTGGGAGGCAGTGATGCACCCACAGATTAGGACTCAGCTATCTGCCCAGTCCTAACTTTCTAATAAGTCTTCTTCCAATAATTCCACAACTTCCTGGAAAAGGGACAGGTAGAAGACAAATGAGGGGTTCACACCCTCCTCTTTGCCATTCACACCAGCCTCGAACCCAAGTCCCTCCTTCTAAGACTAATAACAACTCATGATATTCAGGGGTGGGGTCAGGGAATGGGGAGACGATGAAGTGGGCATGCCTTTCATTTCTTCCCCTCTCCAGTTCAAAAGGAAAATGAGGGGGTCATGACGTACACTTGGAGAAAAAAAGAACTGCAGACCTGTGAGAAAACTGCTCCAACCTTCTTGCCTGTCTCCTGCAGACACTGCTGAGGAGGGCAGGAACAGACACAGTCATGGAAGATGGCAGAGACTGAAGCAGTCCAAAGTCAATTTATTTCCCCACAGGGGAAAAATGTGACCTCAAGTGAAGTGAAGTCAGCAAGACCTGACTCCGCCTTGTAAACAGGGCTCCAGTTAACACCAGGTACCAAATGGGTCTGGCTGGTGCCAACTGGAATGGACTGATGGGAATGAATTCATGGTGTGTAAACAATGTTCACTGCAATCATTCTAAGGCTAACAGCTCGGCAAGGGAGGTGAAATGGTGTGTCTGAAGCGACTGTGTAAACGGTACCGTTGCTGGACAACACTGACTGACAATGGAGGCGCTGGTACAGGAGGGATTGGGGGGGGGGGGAAGAACAGAGGCCCGCTCTCCTTCCTGCCCGTCAGTCGGAAGCAGGTGATGGAGCCGGGTGGCCCTCTGCAGCAGGGCCTGACTGACTGCTGTGGGGTCTGCAGGTTGGGACCGGAAGGTGGGCTTCTTGAGCTATTTCTCTCGAGGTCATCCAAAATGAAACCCTCTGTGTCTCCAACAGGCCTCCCCCTTCTCCAAAAGAGAAGGTGGTTCTGACACTGTGGAGAAGGAGAGGGCTAAGTGTGGCTCCCGATTCAGATTAAAAAAAAAAGTAAAAATACCTGAAGTCCTATAGTATGCGATCTTTTCATGGGGTTGGGGCTCAAGGCTCCTCCTGGAACTGATCCTGGAGCCTGAGACCCCAAACCAAGTGCTCCATACAGATACTGGAATTTTTTCTGTTTGAACCCAGCTCTGAAAGCTCAGCTGCCTTCATGGGGGATGCAGGGAGGATGGGTACTTAGGCTCTCTGACAGAGTCCAAGACTGAGCTGAGGGCCTCCTTGGAGGCTACTGGAATGCCTGGTGGAAACGAGGCAGAGTGGTGGTGCTCAGGCCAGAAGTGAAGACAGGAGGCAAGGAGTGCAGAGGCCCGAAGTTCAGCGGTCCCCCAGCTCCTGGGGAATCTTGAGGCTGAGCTTGCAATGTGGTGAGCAGGGGCTGTGCCTCAGCCTGAGAGTAGCCCATGACCAGGCCTCCTGTGGCCCCGGGAGGGTTACACGAGGGCAGGTTGAGTGGAAGAAAGCCCAGTAAGTGGGAGAAGTCCACGTTAGCAGCGCAGAGGGCCTCAGAGAGGTTGGCGGGGCTCTTGGTGAGCAGTGCTTCATCTAGGAGGGCCGCAGCTGCCGCCGGCTGAGGTGAGGCGGGCTGGGGTTCAGCGGATGAGAGAGACAGGCTTCCAGGAAGCTCCGCCAGAAAACTATCCACCTCCACTTTGGGCAATTTGTCGGGCAAGTATGAGGTAGATCCAAGCTGGTATTTTGGAGGAAGTTGAGCTGGAGAAGAAATGGGTGAGGATTCCAGAGGGTAGCTCATACCCATGGGCAGCGTGTTGTGCACCAGGGAGTGTGGCACGCCTGCGCTAGGCATGGAAGGGATGTGGGCGCCGTACATGCCCATGGGTAACATGCTAGGGAAGGCCTTGGCCCCCATCATGTCCCGAGAGGCCATGCATAGCACGGGACTAAGCTCCTCCTTCACGCTGACTGTGGAGCTGCAGCTGAGTAGGCCTAACATGTCCACTGGCTCTGTCTTGATCTTGAGCAGCTCCTGAGAGTGGCTCTTCTTGACATGCCGTGTCAGGTGGTCCTTGCGGCCAAACCGCTGGGCACAGTACTGGCACAGGAAGTCCTTCCGGCCTGTGTGCACTACCAGGTGCCGCCGCACATCCTTACGAGTATAAAACCGCCGGTCACAGTGGTCACAGGGGTGCTTCTTCTCCTTGGCACCGCCTGCTACCCGGCGTGAGTGGGCCTTCAGGTGCT